TGACAGCGCCCCCCGGGATTCCCACATCTATCCAACCCCCCCTGTTCCCCGTCCCCTGACCGCCCCGCCAGAACCTCCACCCCATTCAACTGCCCCCTGTTCCTTGTCCCGACTGCCCCCCCGGAATCCCCCTGCCCCTTATCCAACCCCCGCCCCCTTATCATGCCACTCAGAGCAGCAGGAGCTCGCTGTCCCGCCACCCGGCCGGAGCCAGCCATGCCGCCCGCCCTGCACGGCAGGAGCAGCGGGCCAGAGCTCTGGTGGCGCAGCGCGCTGCGGCTGTCGGGGAGCGGCCGGGGGCTCAGGGGCCTGGCAAGTTGTGGTTCTATCTTTATGAAGAGCAGGGAGCAGACAAAGGGGCTGTTCCACTCTTCCCTGTGATCCCTTTGTAACAGGGCCTGCGGGGGTGAGCACAGCTGCCTTAAGACCCATGTGCAGAAGAGATTGTCCGGGACCATCTTAACTAGGGGAACACGCCCTCTAACTTGAGGAGGGCATAAGGCAACCCGATGCCACTTTGAAAGCCTTTCTGTGATTGGACGAGCATGTAAAGCGCCAAAGTAACAAGCAAAATGATTGGGTAATAGCTGGTTCTGCTGTTGTCTAGGCAACCAAGTGTAAACTTTCTCAGAGTCCTTCTCTAAAGCAGCCCTGGCAGCCAGGTAGGCAGGGGTGGCACCGCAGGGATGGCAGGGCCCAGCATGCAATGCTTCCTTCCTGTGGCCCCGCAGAGACCAGGGTCCCAGCATGCAACGCTTCCTCTCCTCCGGCCTAGCAGAGACAAGAGTCCCAGCATGCAACGCTTCCTCTCCTCCGGCCTAGCAGAGACAAGAGTCCCAGCATGCAACGCTTCCTCTCCTCCGGCCTAGCAGAGACAAGAGTCCCAGCATGCAATGCTTCCCCTCCTCTGGCCTAGCAGAGATGAGAGTCCCAGCATGCAATGCTTCCTCTCCTCTGGCCTAGCAGAGACAAGAGTCCCAGCATGCAATGCTTCCCCTCCTCTGGCCTAGCAGAGACAAGAGTCCCAGCATGCAATGCTTCCCCTCCTCTGGCCTAGCAGAGACCGGGGTCCCAGCATGCAACGCTTCCTCTCCTCTGGCTTAGCAGAGATGAGAGTCCTAGCACAGTGGTTCTCAACCTGTGTGGTCCGTGGCTCGCCTGTCTAAGGGGTCCATGAAAGACTTAGACTGTAAACTGACTGAATAGAATTCAACTATATAGACAGACAATAGATTTCCAAAAAGGTCCGCACCTCCATTTGAAATTTTGTAGGGGTCTGCAAATGAAAAAAGGTTGAGGACCACTGTCCTGGCATGCAACGCTTCCTCTCACCTGACCTAGCAGATGCTCTTACAACTAAACACAGTACCTGGGCTTCACACTCCTTCTCTAGGGTAATCTTTAAAATAACCTTAAAAACAGAGGGCCAGTGTGCTCCTTGTAGACATTAAAAATTCCCACAGTTTTTTTCATAAGAACAGGGCTTTGCCTCAGTCTTTCCTGATCAAATCCTTTCCCTCCCTCTCAGCTGTGAAGCTGGATTGGCATCATGTCACCCCACCCCACAGGTGACAGAAGGGTTGATGTTTATGTGTAGGGCCCGCACCTGCAGCCTTCACTCACCCCCGCAGTCCCACAGGATTTGGGGAATTCTTGGTGACAGATTCTCTATGAATGTAAAATATGATAATAATCATAATCTGGAAAGGAAGTTCCCTTGTTTATTAAATCTTTGCCATTCCAGCCTTGTTTAGAAATTCTGGCTAGTTTTTTTCTTCTAAATTCATATACATTTTGATATTTCCAACTGATGTTTTAGAAACAAAATGGTGACCCTGAGAAGAAGAGTATTTCCAGCCAGTGGGCCGTAGTTGCGTAACATGGCTGCCTGCTTCGAGAACTTTTCTTTAGCTACTAGTATCAAAGGAACAGATGCTGTGCAGAGCGGGAAAGCGTCAAGAGGTACAGTATTGTGAATCGAATAATAACCACTTTGCATTTGAGAAGGGGGGGAAATAGCTACAAATATGTTGTTCTTTGAAACTGCAGCCTCAGTGAAGCGAATCAATAGGAAGTGACATCCGGAACAATTTATATCCACAGCCAGTTCCAGTCATTCCAGGACCCAGTTTAGAATTGCTCTCCTTGGGCTATTTAAACCAGTGCAAAGTGAACATAAAATGACACCACACCAGAACCTTCCACTATGCAAATGTGTAAATGACGACATGCAGTGCAAGGCAGTGGACAATCATGCCCCTGGCTTCTAAAACTTCTGTGGATTTGTATCATAGTCCGTGTGTCTCTGTTCCTCCTGCTCATTTAGCACTTGCCACCTCTCCCCCCACACAGCCTCGCTACTATTGGTTTGAGAGCATTCTCCCCTCTGCAGTTTCTCTAGAATAGACCTCCTGTATCTCTTCCCTTCCTTGACCTTCCCTTTAATTTCAAAGACCATCTTAAAACATATTTCCTCCCTTGTCAACAGCATGGCTGCGTTTACACTGAGCGTCTCACTGTTGCACTACTCCGGGTTCAGCTCCACTATAGGTTGCAGCAGAGGGAGCTCTAGAGTAGACAAGACGCTGGCGATTTTACCACAATGTCAGCTAACATGACTCGGATGACACAGTGGTAAAAACACAGCAGCTGCTGGCTCCTGGCTCCTCTAGACCTCCCACCTGCCCTTCCAAAGTAGGAGCTGCACTGGTGGGAAATGGCAAGACAATCTCAGTGTAGACAAGGCCTTTGAGCCCAATCCTGCACAGCACAGAGACCCAGATCCTCAGCGGTATTTAGGTGCCAAACTCCTGTTGAAATCAATGGGAGTTAGGTAACTAACTATCTTGGAGGGTCTGGGCTTGAGTGTCTCCTGGGAGGTTCTGAGTAACCTCAGCTGTCATTGTGCTCAACAGGAGCTGAGGGTGTGCAGCATCTTCCAGAAGGCGCTCAGCTTTTTGCAGGATCAGGCCCATGAGATGGGCTGCTAAAATGCCTGACTTCAGGCTGTCTCAGCGAAGGTCTAAACAAGGAGATGTGGCAAAAGTGATTTAGCAGCATTGAGTCAGCCCCAGGGCCGCCCAGAGGGGGGGGCAAGTGGGGCAATTTGCCCCAGGCCCCGCAGGGGCCCCCACAAGAGTTTTTCGGGGCCCCTGGACCAGGGTCCTTCACTCGCTCCGGGGGCCCCGGAAAACTCTTGTGGGGCCCGGGCCCCCAGAGCCTCTTCCGCTCCAGGTCTTCGGCGGCGGGGGGTCCTTCCGCCCCGGGACCCGCTGCCGAAGCGGGACCCCAGGCCCCCTGAATCCTCTGGGCGGCCCTGGTCAGCCCTACAGTTCTTCATGACCACTGAAGCACCTTTAAAGTGCTGCAGCGATAGTTTTTTCTTTACTTCTTAAATAAAACAGGAAAATTCAATGCAAAAACAAATGATGATTTCTCGACCTGAAGATTGCATTAATCATAGATTTGCATTTCATTTCGGTTTCCAATTTAAAATGAAATCTGGTGCTACAGTTACATATTTCCTGTATCTCCACATTCAGGATCTTGTTTTTATCGGCTTTACCTTTTAGGTTACAAGGTCTCCTCCATTCCTTATAAATACCAGACAAGAATGATCCCAAACTCAGAAAAAAAGGGATTTAATTCTCAAGCAAAGAGGTTTCAGTATAACCAGGTAGGTAGTAGAAATATTTTGAGATTTATGACCTTTGCTGTAAATCTTATGTTCCTATTATCTCTAAGTGATCTTGTTTTATAATAAGTTTGGTTAAGTTGAACTGGACACACAGCTTGTATGCATGTTTTAAATAGTATTCCATGGATCAGGCTTTGGGGAAAAAAACACTAACAGCAATGCAAAACAGAAGTGTTCTTGAAAATCAGCTAGGAAAACGCTGAAGTAGTTTGATGAAAGAGAGTCATGTGACCCTGCTGATAAATAACTGTATGAAACGACTCTTTTAACACTCAAGAGCCTGGTTCACCACTGAGTTACGCTGTACAATACCAGTGGAGCACCGCTGCATTTCAGTAGGATTTAGGTACCTAATTCTCTTGGGCTCCTTTGAAAAATGGCTTCTGTGCTCCTTTTTTTCTCCTCTCCATTCCAGCCTCCCTATCCTCGGGGCCAAGGCTGAAGGATACTGTGTCTCATCACTGAATTGGACTGTTAGTTTGTTTTACAACCTAAATATTCTTTACAAGACCCTTTGAATTGAAGTGAATGGTGTGAATGAAGTGAAGATTTGCACCGGTGTAATGCATGCAGAATATGACCCAACTTTCTAGGACTTCTTTCTTTAATCCTGAGCTCTCCGTGCATAAACTCCCTACTACTAGCTAAAGACTATGAGGTCTACTCCTCTTTGGCCAGAAGGGGGCAGCAGTAAGATACTGTAAAACTGTACAAGTCAACCAGAGATCTACATGAATTCTTTTTCTCTGGCCAATACAGATGACCCATCCTCTATGTGCAAGGGGCCTTTTGGGGTTCAGCTTCCTAACTTCTTCCTCTTCTGATGGAAGGAGTCATCTCCATGCCTCCTGCAGAAAGTTGCCCGCTCTCCATCTGGTGAATAACACTGCTATGGCTCCCTAAAATGCCATGAAAATTAAGTCAATTGAGGATTTCTGTAGCTTCATGAACCCTTTTCCAAGTGGGTAGATCAGAGAGTTATTTGGTATCTTCTCTTTTTCTTATTCGGCCTTTGATCTCTTCCTTCTTGCTTGTCTCTCCCATCTCAGCGATATCAAGAGCACATTATCTCAGGCCTGAATAATAATAATAACCATTGACATCAAGGACCAAAGATGAGGGGAAATGATCAAGGTGGAGACGTAGCTTAACTGCCTTTTGCAGGGGCCGTCTGTCTGGTTAGCTTCCAAGAGTTCCAGATGACCTGATGCAAAGTTCTGACTAAAAGAGAAGAGGTAGAGTTTTAAGGTAGTTCCACAAAACACTCCCTTCTACTCCAAGCATTTCCTGCCGGAAGGATGGAGCAGCAAGTGGCTCAAAGCACAAGCGGCACAAGACCTTAGTAGACTTGTGCTTGAGCGTTATCCCTAGGGAAACGATACTGCATCAAATACTAGCTCTTTCTAGGGCTACTTTCTGAGCTTCTCCTTCCAAACGCACCTGGTCATGTCTCCACAGAACTTTAGTACTACGTACTATAGACTAAGTACATAAACACATAGCTACAGGGACAGGGATTCACTCCCCACTAGAACTTTTATGTATATTATTGGGTGTTGTATGCAAAATATTTCTGATCAACTAATACCGTGACCTAGTGGCCTTCTATATTCACCAATAGAATATGATCTCAAGGAGGTAGAAGTAATAATGGTATGTAATCAGCTCAGGGAGTGGGAGGTAGATTTTCAAAGGCACAAATAGCAATTAGGTGCCTAACTCCCTATGTATCTTCCAGCCAGAAAGCGTTAGTCATGTAGTGACCTATTGAAGTCTGGTGTAAGTAGGGACAACTCTATTGAAATCAATGGAGTTGCACCACTTACATCCGTCCTCAGTGCATCCTATAGTTTCTGTCTACAAAGAAAAGTATGCCGAATGTGTCCATGGCCATTCACACTGTAACTCCCATGACCTTTTTTATAAGGAAGGCAGAGTCTTGTGAAACTATATATGGAAATAATAAGAACTAAAGACTCTGGGCCTGATTCCCATTTCGTGACACCAGTTTTCTACTTGTGTATTTGTATTATTAGCATTATGGTAGTGCCAAGTGAGATGAGGTAGGTACTGTATGTATAAGTGGTAAGAGGCAGTCCCACCACAATCTACATAGGGTGGGAGGGGAAATGGATGAACAGAAATGGATGAAGTAACTTGCCCATGGTCACACAGCAGGTCCGCAACAGAGCCAGGAGTAGAATCGAATTCCCAGTCCAGTGCCACAGCCAGTAGACAACACTGTCACTCATTGAACTCAATGGGGTCACACCAACATAAAGCTGGAGTAATATAGTGGTGAGCCAGGATTCCCCCCTCATCCCCTTTAAAGAAAACGGAATGAAGCTAATACAGAATCTCTGCTGGGACTGTCAGCCTGGAGTTGACCCATTGTTAGGAGGATTTCCACGATGTGGACGCTCTCCACTAGTAACCGGATTGTATCCACCAGCTCACAGCAAGCAGCTGGCTGTCAATCAATAATGCCTTTCATTCGCTGTTCTCAAGGCTCAGATTTGACCTGGTGTCCTTGTAAAGCTCTTCATAGCCAGTCCTCTCTAATCCATCCTGCCTCTTTAAGTGTCCATTAGTATCTGCGTTCTAACTTGCCCTCCCCACATACCACCCTGTACCCTGTAGCCTTAAAGGTGATGAGATCCTGTCAATGCCATTCCTAAACCAACCACAAGGGTTTAGGGTTAGGATCTCCCGCTCCTCAGGCCGATCAGACCTGCAGAGCTCCTGGCTCTGGCACAAAGGACCTAAATCAGGTCCCAGAATGTGATGTCATGCATGGTAGCACATTACCACTGGAGTGCCAGTCTGGCCAATTGGATTGGTAGCCTAAGAAGGGGATGAGGTCATTCCTTACTTGCTTCTGCCTTATGGCCATTAATGCAAACTCTGCTTGGATGCTGGGTTTTATTATTTATATATTCCTCCTACACCCTCTCCCACTGCCTGTGCCTCTCCCACGTCTCTCCTATCGTCTCCCTTTATCTCCTTTTCCCACTCCCGGCTTTGTACGTTCTTTCCTGTTGCATGGGGGGGTTGAGATGCCTGCACTCAGGTGTAGCTCATTGCAGGATTGGGGTGTGTGGCTGGAATTGCTCCCGATGTCCTCGGCACCAACTGCCGTCTCTCTCCTCTTCAAACCCATCTCTTCTGTGTTATTCCCACACTATCTTCTCTTGTGTATTGTATATCTCTGTCTGAATCTGAGTGGACACTCCTCAGGACAGGAACCGGACAGGACAGGACCTCTTTATGTGCTTATAAAGTCTCATGTACTTGTCCAGTGCTCCATCCAAAATATTTTCCACTGGTAATTGACAGACAAGGTCACATGACGATGATATGCTCTCCGGGGTCAGGAGTCTCAGATATTTCCATTCCTACATACCTAAATCATCTTTGACGTGAGGCTATATTTCTCTCTAGGGGTCTCATCCCATACAGTCCTGAGCCTCCAGAAATCCCATTGACGTCCCTCGGATTCGAGGGAGCCCAGCACCTTACAGAAGGTGTTCAATACCTTGCGGGACACTGAACCTCAAGAGCTTAAGGTGTCATCGCATAGAACTGAAGCCGGTTTTGGTTTATTTTGCTCTATAAATAGAATCCCGCCCAGTTCTCTTTCTGAAAAGCCCAGGAGAGCTGAGTCAGGAAGGGTGCGGTAACTGCAAATAATGCATTCTGGCCACATGCTGAATTCAGTCAGTCAAGTCAGATGTACAAGTAAGATTTCAGACTTGCAGTTGCTCTGAACTCCCAGTCTGTATAAATTGCCCTGTAGGAAACTTAATCTCCCATTTCATATTCATTTTTCTGTGCAATTTGAGACTCACATTAAAATAAGATTATTATTCTGACACAATGAAAACATCTGCTCATTGCACAACGACAGTTACTACAAAACGTTCAGGTGCCCAAGGAATGGAATGGAAGATGATACTGAAAATATGAGAGTGCCATTATTTATGTCCAGGGTACGCCTTCACCTGGAATGTTCTGTTCAGTTCTGGTCATCCTATCTCAAAATAAAAGCTGCAACAGAAACAGAGGGGGCTCAGAAATAGCTGACAAAATGATTAGTCCTGGCGAGAGATACTGGGGTTGTTTAGTTTTGAGAGGAGAAAATTAAGCTTTGATCTAATAGATGTGTGTAATGTAAAAAAATTGTAT